TGTGGAGAAGAAGAACCCGAGCCCGCAGTCGATGATGACGGAGTCGACGTTCCACCGCCTGACTATGAAGAGGTACGAATAGCAACAACGCGGCTGAAAAACAACAAAGAGCAGCTGAAGCTGACAGCCTGCCAGCTGAGCTATTCAAATACGGCGGCGAGGAGTTGATAAGGTGAATGCATCAACTCTTGTGCAGAATATAGTCAGGTGAACGCATGCCCGACGACTGGAATTTAAGTGTGCTCTCCCAAATCCACAAGAAAGGCGACCCCGCCATTCGCGCCAACTACCGCGGGATCAGCCTTCTAAGCATAGGTTACAAGGTCTTATCGGGCGTATTGTGTGAAAGACAGAAGCCTACCGTCAATGAACTGATTGGGCCTTATTAGTGTGGCTTTAGACCTGGAAAATCCACCTTAGACCAGGTATTCACAATACGACAAATCTTGGAAAAGACCCGCGAGAAAAGGATCGACACTCACCACATATTGCGGAATCACGGTTGCGGTTGAGTACGGACGTGTTCTTTATTCGCTCCATAAAAAATAATTTTTATCGTGAAACTAATAATACTTAACCATCAAAAGAGATTACTGGAGTTTTGTGTCGTCGCGAAATGCCCTCAGCAGTATAAAAAAATCAAATCGTGATCGCAAAAAATACCTAAATAATCAATAAGACATTGTGTGTATAAAAATAATTAAATTATTGTTTACATGCAAAACGATAGTTAAGTGAGAGATGAGTGTCGAGGACGCGCCCCAAAGGAGCGCAGGCACTCAATGCAAAGCGCAAGCAAAAGAAATGCATATTTGACAATTACTGCATACAGCCCAAAAAGCAAAACCAGCAACAACAACGCTAAAGAAAACTCTTATACTGCTAACACACCATCATAAACAGCAGATGCAGCCAAGCAAAGAGCATCTTCTTGCTCTCCAGCAGTGATCAATGCGGACAACAACGCAGCTGCCGATACTAATACTTCGACGGCAACAAACAAAGAAGAAGAAAAACAAGCAAGAAATGCTACTGTTCAGACTGGGTTAGTTCGCTACATATTATTAAAGCGAAATCGCACACCCGAGAAAAACGGAAAACAAAGCCCAAAAAATAAAATGTTGAAAGTAGTCACTTCATGTACCTCTACATTGGCGGAGAGTAATCGTTTTAGTATTCTCGATGATATGAATAATGATTCTAACCAACAGGTAGTTAAAAAATACAAGCCTCCACCTATTTATCTACGAGAACAAAGTTCTAATGCTCTGGTAGATACTCTCTTAAAACTAGTAGGGAAAAATAATTTTCATGTGGTTCCTATTAAAAAGGGGAGTTTACACGAAGAGAAAATACAGGCTAAAAACGAAGATATTTTTCGTAAAATTACCAATGAGTTTGATAAGTGTAAGAAATCTTATTACATCTATTAACTTAAAAGTAGTCGAGGACTAGAAGTTGTCATAAAAGGCATCGAGTCCAGTGTGAACTCACAAGAGATAGAAAATGCTCTTTTGGAAGAAGGTTTTAATGTGCGTAATGTTTTCAACATCAAAAATAAAGAAAACATCCCTCAACCGATGTTATAAAGAGAGCTATGACCTGACTTTCACAATCTGAAGAAAGGGGAAGTGCATAAAATATATCAATTGCGATATCTTATGCACCGTAAAATCTCCGCAGAAGAACCCCATAAGCGTAGAGGCCCTACTCAATGTCATAACTGCCAGGAATTTGGTCACACACGTCGCTACTGCACCTTACCTGGTGTCTGTGTTATCTGTGGGGATCTACACACTTCTAAAGAATGTATGAAACCAAAAATGGACCCAAAATCCAAAAAGTGCAGTAACTGCGGTGGCAATCACACTGCTAACTATAGAGGTGGTCCAGTTTATATCTCAATGAAAGAGAACACAATTCCCAAAAACATTCCTATTAAGCAAAATCCCATACCAGAACCCGCTAAGCCAATGTCTGCGCCAATGACTGTTAATAACTTTACTTCATATGCACAAATGCTCAAAAATACTCCTCCGACACAACCTTGTTTTGGTCAGAATAGTAGTAACCTAGAAGCTAGTATAAACAACTTTATGAAAGTTATGCAGGAGCAAATGATGGAAATGCAGAACATGGTACAAGACTTGATTAAAAATCAAAATCAATTACTTCAAGCCATTTTAGCTAAACAATGAATAATCTTAAAATTTGATTTTGGAATACGAACGGGATAACCCAGCATGAAAACGAACTAGAAATTTTCTTAGAGCGATATCATATAGACGTTTTGCTTGCATCTGAAACCCACCTTACGCAATTTAATAACTTTCAAATTAATGGGTACAAATTCTATGATACTAAGCATCCAAAAGGTAAGGCCCGAGGTGGAACAGCTAAGTAAGTTTATTGTAGCAGGAGATTACAATGCCAAGAACACATTCTGGGGATCTAGATTGATTACACCAAAGGGTAGAAATCTATATAAAGTAATCCAGAATAGAGGATTCGACGTCTTGTATACTGGTCAGCCCACGTATTGGCCACCTGACCCCAAAAATTACCCGATCTTATTGACTTTGGTGTAGCAAAGGGTATTGCGCGACACCGAGTTAATACTGAAGCTTTATTTGATCTGTCTTCAGATCATTCACCCTACCTCATAACATTATCAATGTTTATTAATTATGAAGAAAAAGAAGAAAATCTTACAAATAAGACACAAACTGGTTAAAATACAAAAAGTATGTCAGTTCGCACATTGACCAATTCCTA